TGGCTTTGTTACCAGTTCTGACTTCAGAGATGATCTAGTTTGTTTCTCTGACCTCATACCTTTGCTTCGTGGCTCAGGGTAGGTCACATGCAGTGCTCAGTAATGAACGGGGTGGGGCTGATGAACTCCGGCTGCCCTTCGGCCTCCACCTCTGAATCATCTTGTGGTTGAGATGTGCCATGGCACTGGTAAGTAAGGAGGCCTGTGGTGAGAGTCCTGGCTGACGACTTGCCACCCACCATCTTAAGGGGAATGACTCTTAGATTGACTGGGGGTTCTTTCTTTTTTTGAAATAAGAAAAGGACAATAAAAACCTTCCGACACCCTGTGAGACTTAATCTCCCCCTTTGGCTAGGTTATAAAGCACTGCAAGCTGGAGAGGTTTCTGAGGGAGGTCACTGGGGCCTTCTTACTGGTGGTTCTGCAGTTTTTAGATGGCTCCCTCGGGTCGGGTTCAGGTCAGGGTGGCAGGAGTGACCTGGACTTCTCTTATGTGTTGCAACCTGCTGATTTGGCTGCGTGGGAGAGTTGTGCAAACATATTTTTATTTATGTCACCACCAGGGTGTCCTGTAGGACTCTCCTCTCCAAGGCTGCTACTAGGTGTGACTTTAGCAGCCGGTGGCCATGCTTTAGGGAGGAACCTAAAGACTTGGAGTGGTTGCTGAGCTATTTGCTGGGTGCCCCTGTGAATGTTGGGCTCTTGAGAGCTCAAAATATGAAGGAGAGGAAGCTTTTTGCTGGAGGTTTAGAAGTGGGTCGGGCGTTGAGCACAACCCACTGGAGAGGCTCTACTGGCGCGGCCTTTAGGATGGGGCTCTTGCGCTGTAATCCGTGATGGCCACCCTCCCTCCCTTGGCAGACAGGCGTCTGCACTCGACCAGGGGAGCGGCCACCTGGGCCTGAGACTGCGGTGCCTTTGTGCCTTTTCTCTCCTTTTGTGCCTTTTCTCTCCGGGCACGAGGTGGGCGCTGGGGGAGCTCTGGGGAAGGCCCCGGGAGTCCCGCCAGGACGCCTTAGTTGGGGAGAAGTGGAATCTCTTCTCCCCCTTGCCAGCCTCGCCCGCATCGTAATTCTTTTTATTTTTACTTTCGAGCCATGTAAGGTATGCGGATGGGGTAGTAGCGTTCCGGAGACACGTAGCCAGCGCCGCAAAGCCGGCCCGCCCGCATGGCCAGAGCCCGGGGTAGAG